GAGTAACGCGCACCGATGTCATTGACCCACAGAATTCTACACTTAGTGTAGAATTCTGGGTATTGTCTCATTTGGTTTACGGTCTCTCGTTAGATCTACAGTAGGGAGCAAAATACAATTTATTTCTAGTTCTTATAGAACCAAATTAAAAAAAAAAATTCAAAATAGTTATAGAATCTAGATCTAGATCTAGAACCTAGATCTAAATGGAAACTGTATCCAACTAGACAAGACAATAGGCTTAATTTTAAATTGTTTTTTGTGTCGTGGAATAAACGGAAGTCGAGTTTTTTAAATATAAGTTTCCGCATGCGCACTCAACTTAGTTACCTGCCGCTGTATTTTGCAGGAAATCCAAGTTCATCTAAACAAGGCGCACTTTACTTTAGGTTGGGATCTTACTGTTGCTATTTGCTTGTAAAAGTTCCATCAGAACAAAATGGCAGAAGCAACTGAAGAGAAGAAGGCGGATGCAGATTCCAAAAGAGTTCACACATATCCTTTAATACGGGTAAGAATGATGGACTTTGAAATGTTTGTTTTAGACAAAAACGTGGCAAGACAAAGGAGAGACGATAAAAGGGCAGCTTCATTTATTCTCTGTCAATATAGATATATCTATCAAATGTCATATGTGGTAAGCATAACTGGCACTCATGACGGTATTGTGTCCAACACTACTCATTACACGTTGTTGCTGCTAGATTTAGCTCGATAAGTGAAATTATGTTTTGAAGTGATTAAAATTAAAGGGTAATGGATGCCTATTATTTGAATTTGAAGTATTACTATTATTGTTATAGTTTCTGACCGTCTGGAGTTTCTGTCTTGACAGGCACTGGTCAGTCAGTCACTGATAATGGTAGTCTAGTTCAATTTTTGTTGTAGAAGAGGTTACACTACCCCATTGCTAGAACCGTTTCTACCACTGTGTTGTAGAAATTCAATTAGTTAGGCCTAAAACTAATTCCTGTTTCCATACCCTTTACTTTTACATTTCATTCAAAGAAAAAGTGCAACTCCATTTGGCTACCTTGCCTTACCAATGGGGCTGTGTTACAGTTTATTCTCCTGCCACCACTTTAAATGCTTGTTTGCTATCATTAAGAGAGCTTTTTTATGCTTACTGTATTTTTGACACCTACAGGACTGCAGATGAGAATACTCACGAAGCCCGACTGATTCTCCAGGGCAGTAGACAAATATTAAATAGGCCTCGTATTAAATAATGCTCGCGAGCAAATGTGAAAATGGCTTCTAAACAAAGGCCTGTCGATGTTTCCTGAAATGTATATATTTTGGCCACCTCTATTCTCACCCGGGGTGAGAATAGTGCAGGCGAGTCTTTTGGCTATTCTCACCCGGTGCGCGTTCACCGTTATAGCCTAGATCTAGGCCAACAATTTTTGCGTTCACCCTAAACCACAGAATTCTACACTGTGATGACACAAAAATTGTAGAATTCTGTGCCGTGAACAAACGTTCCATTACAACTGTAGCCTACTAAAAGCGTACAATTTTGTCTGTGGGCAGTGGAGAGAAAGAGAGAGAGAACTTCCGGTCAAAACAAAATGGAGACCCGCGTAGTTCGGCTCGATTCAAAAAGTTAAATAGCCGTAGCATCTTTGTAGACAACCAAATTAATTTACTTTTGTGTTTTAACATCATTTTTTAACTTTGTTTTGGTCAATTTGATCGTCCACACCGATAGACAGTATTCAGAAAGAGAGAGAGAGAGGGGGGAGGAGTAGATCTTGCGAGAACTTCCGGGCAAAACAAAATGGCGACCCGCGTAGTTCGGCTCGATTCGAACAGTGAAATAGCCATAGCATCTTTGAAGACGATCAAATTAGCTTACTTTTGTGCTATAACGTAATTTTTTCTTGGCTTTTATCAATTTGATCATCCACACCGATAGACAGTATTCCAAAATGAGGAAAAGCAGGTCTTGTTTCGCACCGGGTGAGAATAGCCTGTGCTGGCAAGTCTCACCCGGGGTGAGAGGTAGATCGTTTTTCTATTCTCACCCCTGATGAGAATAGCCACTTCCATATATTTTTGCGTTAACTGAACCAGAAGTGACTCTTCCTGTCTCTACAATTTGAACTTCTCTAATCTGAAGGAGGCCTGTATCAGGGGTCTTTATGCTGTCCTGCCCTACAAATCCAAGCACCCCATTTACTATTATACAGTACAAGCTGGGCCCCCTTTCGATGAAAGAAATGATCGGTGCTTTAGTATCAACTAAATGTCATTGGCCTACTATATTTATACTCTACTTGAATGGGACAATAAATCTTGAGAGATGCAAAAAAATTATAAGGTTTAGATATCTATATTCTCAAAACAGAATGCGCCTCGCGAAATATCACTTCCGGATTTTCTAAAATTATAGAGACAGAAGCACTGGCCTACAAAAGCGATCAGCGAAATAAAGAAATTTAGTTTTTTGCAGCAAAACTGTCTCTAAACCGAAAAAACGAAGGGCGTCATGCTCTGGAGAATCTTTTGGCGAAACCTGCATGTCAATCGATGCAGCCATTAAAAAGCCTTTTGAATAGCAAAATTCGGCCACCACCAATAGATAATAGATAACATGGATAGCTCGAATTCGTCGGGACTGGCCTGCGTAGTTCAAGGGATCTGTAGTTCAAGGGATACGCGAACAGTGTTATGACATCGGCTGTGACAGAAAAATCAAGGAAAGCAAAAAAAATTGACAGATTGAGAATGAGAAACACGAAGAGCAACGCTTTTGAGTTCGATCGGTAATAAGCCCACCAGTACCAAGACAGTTTAATTGCACGGTTCAATGTGAACGATTTTAAGTCTGCTCCAATCGAAGGATGCCGTCAAGCATGCAGTACTTTGCGAAGAGGGATGGGGCGGCCTATTGTGTGATACACAACCCTTCACATGCCTCTAGACTGAGAGCCTAGGCATGGGAGTAAATTTTTACTTATGCACCCACACACAGATGCATTGATTTGAGGGCTAAACTGCCTTAATTTTTGCTGTAGAACACACGTATGGCCACTAACAACCTTGCAAATCAATTGTTTTCTAGTAAATATCAATCCTAATTTCCAAAACATCAAATCATTATATGCAGGGGGGGGCATGCCTGAAACCCCCCATGTTGTTAAATTCAAGTCAAATATTACTATTTTAAAACACCAATAACTCAATAACTGTTGATTTGCGGCAAAAATGAAAGCGATTGTATTCGTGTTCAGCATGCAAAATGCTACAGTCCGTGCCGGCTTTTAGCACGCCAGCTTAAAGCACGTTTCAGACTCAAGCATGCTAAACGGCTCTTACCGAATATTTGCTAAATAAATTACACACCTTTAAGCATGGTAACTTCGGCTTCAGGCTGGCTTCATTTACAACACAGTTAATACTTTCATGATGACCCATCAAAGTTCAAGCACAGTCTACACCGCAGCAGTAGAGTGTGTTAAGAGAAGCACAAAGAACGCAAGTGATGGAGACACACACTCACATGTGCGGAGAGGAAGGCAGAGAGATACACGCAGCCGTGCATGTGGACATACGATCTAGCCTAGGGCAAAGTTACACACAGACGAAAAAATACAAAAAGAGTCGGGGACATGAGAAAGGGAGGCTGGCTGCGATTTCATCTTTGCCCCTCGCTATCCGATAATCCTGATTATGTATCATGCGCGAGGTGGGATGAAGGGGGAGGTATGAATTATGAATGTGGCTCAGCAGGCAGTGGTACGCACAGGCAGTGTGTAGGTACTACAAACTGAAATTTCAAAGTCCTCTGATTTCATAGTTAACTGCCCAACCTTATAGAATTTATCATTCTGAGCATTTTGATACCAAATTTATACATGTAGCTTCATTTTTAACAAAGTTATGAACATCTGAAGTTGCAGAAAAATGTTATAGTTTTTTAATTGCGAAATGTCTGCACTTTGAAATGTCACAACATTCTTAAATTTGAATGGACATTCACAAAAACTTGTAGACACACACCTATGCACATAGAGAACTAGCCGAATTTTTTTCAGGGCTATCAAATAACCAGAAGATGGAAATTTATTGACGTACATGCCTTTTTGACTAAAATGGCAAGAAATACAGGGGGGGGGGGGGGGTTAAAATCACCACTCGCGACCACCGGCCTATTGGCTGCGCGTCGGGCCGCGCTGAAGGGAAGGAGAGAGAATTTATACAAAACCAGGGCGATGGTGCCCTGCTTGCGAGCCGACGGGGAGCATTCGGTATTTATTTGGGTATAATAGCTGTGTTATTCTTGAAGAGGAATGAATGGGCTTTCTGCCGATATGTTTCCGTAGTCAGTCCTATCACTGGTTCCATAAAAAACAGCACCGAAAGTTTTCACTCGCAAATCTCTTCTATTAATTCTTTAAGGACAGTCTTTAGAAATATATCACCGGAAAGAGCGTCTTCTCATCTTGAAAAATTGACGAATCAGATTGCAGTATTTAATACCATACGCTCCCCGCTCCTGTTCAACCGAGGTCACTCAAAAAATCAATACACGAAACGCGCGGCCGCGACAGTGAAAACCTCGATAGTGTTGTCTTTTATCCCGCAAGATTTTGCTTTCAAAAGAATCGTTGATTCAAATAAATAATACTACTACAAAGAGGAAAAGCTCCTCTTTCTTCTGATATATCAAATGTCTGTGTATGCATGATGACACGGTGTTTTAGGAGGGTAAAAATATGGGTTTTGGTCTCCGTGACAGTACGCCACAGGGGCGCACGGCCAGTTTTGCGGTACCGACAGTTGTTCTTGTTTCATGAAGCAACATCCCTGCACTCCGGACATGTCCATTGATGCTCCGTTGCTCTCTCCAAAATGTTGCCGAGGGTCCCTCTACTGATTGTGCCAGTGCACATCTGGTTGAACGTTCTTCTGTTCTTTCCTGCAAGGATGCCAGATTTTCCGCTTCCTTTTTTTATTCCCAAAAGCATCATCCTCTCCACGGCAGTACTGGCCTCTGCCTCCCTATCCTCCTCCTCAATCAGTTGGCGAGAAAGACATTTCAGGATCTCGACCCTATCTGGTTGAACCGTATTGTCAACTAAGGTGGCCTCACCAGCCAATCTGTCGGCTTTTTCATTTCCCCTAACACCTGCATGGCCAGGGCAGAAAATCCATGTGAGCGATCATATAGGCGTTGGTTCGATAGCCTGAATCCATTCCGACAGTGTGTAAGCCTAGTGTGCTGTATCGTGACTGGCCGTCGAAATTAAGTTTTCTTTTCCCTTTCAACCACAAAACAAAACAAACAAAAACTACTATGGCAGGTCAAAATGACAGCGCACACTTTTGCACGACCACTACTTGCAAACAAAGGGAATAGCTCGGGAAATTTTCTGCATAAAAGTCTCTGGTTTATGACAATGTTTACTTCGCACTCAAGCACGCTTCGGCATTAAGCACGCTTGTGCTTTCTCCCAATGACCGTGCTTAAAGCCAGCATGGACTGTACTAGAAAAAAAGTATATGAGACGGATGCTTAAGTAAAAAATAACACAGCTAGCTTCTTCTTTGGTGGGGGAAAGGTGGTATTTTACCAACCTTGCCCTTTTCAGTTTGTAAAAATATTATCATTATTTTTCTCAAATGCACCTAAAAAGGACATTGACTTTAGACCTCTATGGTGGCCTGATTCGTTCGACTTTTCCTTGTTTGTGTTCGAGCTTCGCATATTTTCTTACAAAGAGATAAACAAGACGTAAAAAACGGGACTGCAGGCACATTTCGACGGATGCGTGATTTTGAGTCTTCTATGTTCGACCTATCCGTGTTACACTGTGATGAGTTCGCACATTTTAATCAAGCTCTATGCCTGCAAACAATCAAACAAAGCAGGGGTGCAGTGAGAGCAACCTATAGGGAAAACCTGAACAGATGGGTGATAGGGAAAGATAATATATGTGAGGCTTCGTGGAAAAATCAGGCGCTCGTCAAAATAATGAAACAAATTTTAATTTCAGTTTATAGGGACTACTCTCGGGCTACAGAAGGTGCCAAACTTTGGCGGCCATTTTCTCGCTAATTTTACTTCTGAAACCAGGTGACCCTGACCTCCTTCAATCGCAAATATTTTGACTTCTTTTCAAGATAGATGGATTTTTTTAACCAAAAAGAAGGCAAATGAACAGGATTTAAGATGGTACCAATAACCCATATGCCTAAAAATTGGTGAGCGCCTGATTACACCAAGTCGTGACACATAAATATATAGGTGCTTTTTTTTTTTTTAGCATCTTAACAGAATTAATGGTGAACCATGATCGTCAATGTCTGTTACAGATGTGGCACTTTTTAATAATGATGACTGCCAATCAAAGTTTGGAAATGTATAATAATTAAAATTCACGTAGTTGTCAAAAGTTTTGAATGTACAGTCAGTTGACAGTTGCAATTCTTTGGCCGAAGATATTAGGAGACGTCTCCGCTGAGCACCCAGGGGCTATTGGGGCTGCACACAGATGCACTGCTTTTGGGGTCAAACTGTTTATTGTTTGCTGCAGATCACACAGCATAGCCACTAAAACTGTCACAAATCAATTATTTTCAAGAAAATTTCAAACCTAACTGCAAAGTATCAAATTATTGGTTAAACCCCCAAATTTTTTTTACTTGGTCCAGAGGCTCAAAGCATTTTGATTGGTCTGTCTCTGTCGGAGACGTCTCCGGATAAATACTGTGCAATTATTTCTTTGTCAGTGTTTCTGTCAGGGTCATCAAAAAGCTTAGCTAAAATGTAAGGCTTTTAAAATATTATGGTACTGGGTAAAAAAAGAGATTTAAATTCATCATACAGTTTAGCATGCACATAGTGAAATCAGCGGGATGCATAAATCTTTTTTGCTTTGTATGAATTTCAGGCTAATATCAATGTTTGCCTGCGTTTATCACACACATCAGTTGGCCTGCACACTGTATAATGTGACACTAGGATAACGAATGTTCGGTACATCTGTCTTGTGAACTTCGGTTGGTCATGACTTATTGTCTGTGCGAAGCTAGTTCCCACACACATGAGCACATACAGCTCATATCACTGGCTTTGGGCCTTCTCACTTCTCTTGCCTAGTGCAGAACACAGCTAAGTAACAGACACAAGTTTATAGTAGTGTGTCTGTGCTGATCTCCTCTTTCTTGTGTTCCGTGCGACTGTTTGATAGATTTAGAAAGCTGACAATCTGAAACAGAAAACACAATGTGTACCCTGAAACTCAAATTACTGAAAGACGAACATGATAAAAAGCTAACAAAACTTATATCGCTATTGTTTATAGTTTAAGTAGGCCTATTTCATGTGTTGATAAATAGACTTTGCATTATAATGTTTATCATTGATGTTACTTTTGTGTTTATTGCAGCATTCTGACATGAATGATGAAATGAAGACAGAGGCAATGGAGTTGTGTGTCACTGCTTGTGAGAAGTTTGCTACAAATAATGAGGTGAGTAGGCTGCTTAGCAATATATCATGAATGGATCACCAGTTGGTTTTCATATATGCAGGATGTTTAGGATCTCACAGGATCCAAAATACACGTCTAAAGTCTCATGCCCCTTAAAGACAAACGGCAAACTCTGGCAGTGTTATTACTTGTATATATAGAGCTTTTTTATGTAGCGACACATAGGCCTACTTTGATCGGGTGATTTTTATTAAAATGCTAGAGACCTTAGTACTTATTCATATGATCGTAAAATATTTAGACTGAACAGTGCTCAAGCACATGATCAGACGCCATTCTGTGCTACTAAATTAACTGATAATAGTCATGGTGCAGTTTATATCTCCTGGTTTGATCATGATAATTGTAGTGAGGAAATGGTCTCTGTAAATTAATTTTTAATGTTTTAAGCCCCTTTTGACCCGGGCTGCGTGGGGTACAGCATCTCAGTAGATAACTTAGATACCGATGTAATACCTCTCAGTCTCAGAACAGGAAAATTGAACTCAGGTCTTCTCGGTGCAATGTCAAAGAGTCAAACCATTACAACAAGACATGGTAATGTGTCACAAAAGCCTATCCTGACCAGTGAAAGTAGTATTGGTATTGATTTTGATAGGTGACCAGTACCTTGGTACCCTGAAGGGTTGAAGCTAATTTAACTAATTATTATTTTATTAATAAAATAATGTTTTTGCTAGTATTCTGTGGCCACTTTGGATATGATGTATGATTCATAATTTGGTGAATTGGTTAGGTGAAATGTCACACAGGTTTTCACTTCTGTTTATGTGAACTTGGAATATCTTTTTATCTGCAAGTCATCATCAGAGGCCATCATATTCATGTTTTGGAGTCAGATTTGACAAATAGACAACACATAATTCAATATGCTTTACTTTCGTTTGGTAATTTATTCGTTTTCTGGAAGTGTATTTTTTTCTTCTGAATTTTGAGCTTTAATCAAACTCAAACCCTCTTCTTTGAAAAATGTTAATCGGGGAAAGCCCAATTCATTTTAGAAAATGTAAGAGCACTTGCAGAGTTAACAGTACAATTACCCATGCTGAATTAAAATATGTGTTCAACTCCTAATTCTGATTACCCTGAGAATGTCCACAATTCCTGATTCGACTCCGTCATGATGTATAAATTAATACTTTGATTCCTCAAGTGATGTTTCCTCTCATCTTGTTTGATGTTGATACAGCAGTGGAAGTGATTCTGGCCAGACTACTGTGTTTTTCCCATCCAGCCATGTTTGGCCACAGCAATGGCTATAAAAAGAAAGTAAAATTTTTCAGCCTTGGTGTAGAGATGAAAAAAAAACGTGTACAGTCAGTGTGGGTCTAGTTTCTCACGGCCCATTGAATATGTAGGCCTATACCCATGTCAAGGTACAGTCAAAATTGTCCAAGACAGCTACCCATTGTCAAGGAGAAAAGTGGTTGTCTTAGACCGGTGTACATTTTGGACACTGTCATTATAGTGTACAGTGTTGCCTCTCTATAACGACATCGGCGGGAACAGAAAATAATGTCATTATAGAGAGACAACCAAAAATGTTACTAATGATAAATAAGGAAAAAATCGGGACCTGGGCACCATGTCGCTATATTATACAGAGGATGTCGTTATAGCGAAGGTCTTAAAAGAGAGGCTGTACTGGAATAGAAAAACAATGCAATTGAGGAAGTGTGCAGAGGTCATTTGTACAGATGGCTGTCTTGAACAGGTGGACGCTGGAGCAGTTTCAACTGTACTCACTGATGACTGCAAGCACCTATTGTGCAGTTGAAGAGTTTTTGTGTTTTACATCGTGTGGATAAACTTTACTTCCACTAATATTTCATCTCTGCTAGTCTTTGTATTCCCCCCAACCTTGTGTCTTTCATCTTCTACAACATAGATAATCATAAGATAGTATTCATTGTGTTTGAGCAGAGATGCTGCTAACCTGACTAACTTTGTATGTTTTGCTGGTTTCAGAACGCTGCAAAGATGATCAAAGACACGATGGACAAAAAGTTTGGGGCATCCTGGCATGCAGTTGTTGGTGAAGGCTATGGATTTGAAATTACCCATGAAGTGAAAAATCTGCTGTACATGTTTTTTGGTGGGAATATGGCAATTATTGTTTGGAAGTGCTCTTGAAGATATGGCATAGGTAATTTACTTTTTGTTCCTTTTCCCACCCTGTTTGGAAAACTAATCTATTTTTTTCACTGCTGATTACTATTACAATACTTAACTTCCACTGGTCTTGAAAGTTCTTGTATTATATACATTGTCATTATATTGACTGAAACTGAAAGGATGTCTCTTCGGTGAATTATTTATTCAGGGACTTTTTTTTTTACCGTGAGATTGTGTTGGGGTTGTGTCTTGATTTAAAAATTGATGAATAGGCCTACATTAGTTAAAACCAATTTTGTTATTTGGATGCAATCTCATGAACTCTATTATAATGAATAAATCTTCAAGAAAAAACAGCATTGCAATGTAATTAATCGTTTAAATTAGATTTAATAGAGTTCACTGCTTCAAGAATTTACCTGGCCATTGAGTGGCGAGAATCAACTTTTCTTTTTGTATTACTTACGTTTATATGGAAAATGGACCAAATATAGTTCCTTTTTATTGGTTGTGTTTTTACCACTGTAGCCAAACATTCCGTCCTTTGCTCTCAGTGCCTGTAAGTTGTTCTGTATGTGTGGCTGTGAATGTGTGCGTGCGTGCGTGCGTGTGTGGCGTTGCTGTCAGCAGATGTTTGTTAATGTTGTGGCCTTTTTTTTTTTTCTTGGACTGTTGTGGAAGATAATGTGAGCACAGAATGAGAAAAGAATGAAAGATGAAATGTTTCATGGATAAAAAGTAATAAACAAAATAAAATTATGATGACATCTTGTTTTTTAGGTCTAAAATATGATTATATTTACATTCCTTTTCTTTTCTTTTCTTTTCTTTTTTTTGGGGGGGAGGGGGCAGGGTGGCTCCGGTTTCCTCTCACTTTCACAGTAGGCCTATGTTTCAAAGAGTGGAATGAGAAGTCTGTTCTGTGCACTTCTATATTGGATCAACCACACAACAGCACAGATGGAAGTGTGGGTGGTTGGCGGGTGCTCTAGTGTGGTTTTCTCCTTCTTTCCTATCAAACATCTATCGTCCTGATCTCTCCTTTTTTTGTGTGTTTGTTACTCTCCTGTAACACCTCTAATCTTCGGCATTTATATGACCTTATTGTGTTGCAAGTGCTGTAAAACTCTTACCAAAATTTAAAAAACCAAAAAAACAGATGGAAGTACAGTGGACTCTGCTTAAACCGAAATCTGCAGGACCACCAGGGTTGTTTTTTTTTCAGTTTAGAAAGGTTGATCAAATAGAAGGGGAAAAAAATTGGGATTTTATTTTCTCTTGGTTAACCACTGTTGCAGATTCCACTGTATCTAGTTAAGTGTATGGATTTAACTCCCCCTATCAACACTATTAGGTTATTTCTGAGGTGGGACCTCTGATTTTAACCCCCGTCTCCAACAGGACAGAGCCAAATGAGCTGACAGCCTTGGAGACTCCACAAAAAGACCCGAGTCGAAGAATGCCTAATCTGGGATTTGAACCAGGGCCATCTATACAAAATATGCTACAGTGGAACTCCGATTCAACAAAGTCGTCGGGCTTGACTTTCAATTTCATTGAAGCCGAGAGTGTTATAGCAAACATGAGGTTTTTTTTCTTATATATAGATATTACAGGCACCAAGCAAGTAATGTATAACGGGAAGTAACAAGTCGTAGGCTACCCTGAAATGCCTGCTTTTTGCCTCTTTTCTACTTCTTCAATTAAAAATAGTTACGTTTAAAAACGAGAGGCAAATTGTTTCTTTGGTGCCATACTGAAGAAATCATTGTGACAGACTGCCATGCAAAGCGTACGGATCGGATTAACGAGTAAATTTCCTCTTTGGAAAGTGGTGGCATAGAGTTCCCCATGCCGTATGGATATGATAGTAAAACACGGCGTACAAATAGGGTTAATGAATTCTTTTTTTAAAAACCCAAAAACGAGGAATCTGTTTCCTTTCGTTGAATCCGAGTTCCACTGTACCGTGAAATGATTTCAGATATCCATTTTTTCCCCCTCTCTCTTTGTTCTATGCATTTCAACCTGCATCATGAAATCATGCTTGACATGGACCTAAATTCTCTCACCCAGAGAAGTTTCTGTTATACATGGGATTTACTGCTTTTCAACACTTTAGGCATTGTTAAAATTCTTACCCTAATGAACTGAAATGACAAATGACATTAATCTACCGACCATCTGAAGGAGTATATTTTTTTTGTCCCTTCTACTTTCCACCTGATCACAGGAGATATCAGTTGGCTGTAACTACAATAATTGAAAGGATCTGATTTTGTACTGAAACATACTGCCTTTTTTCAAAACTAGGACTAGGATCATGTAACATATGCATTATCTCCCATCTTTTAGGAAACAGTATGCAGTTTTCAAAGGTATGGTAGTACCCGTAACACAATTTCTTCAATCTTGTGCAGCGATTAATTCATATCAGATCGCCACTTTGGAAGAGCTGGCTATTTAAAAAAATTTCAACTGCCAGGGTGTCTTAACTCCTTATATATCTGGCAAATCCCCTCCTTGTGGCTTGCGGTAGGAACTGCTGTGCCCAAGATCCGCTTTCATGGGCATGGTCGAATTCCTCTACGAAGACAACTTTATATTAATTTCTAGTAATGGCCAAAAATAGGTCTCTCTGACTTACGGAGGTTCTTTCATTAGATGAAGAACTGTCAAAATAGGTTCATTTGTTTTAATTTAGTACTTAACATAGCTCCCCCTCCGGTTTCAAACCAAAGGAGGACTCCGGCATAGAGGGTAAAACCCCTTCGGAGATACAGAGTGAAGCGCGACATTCAAATTTTTCATCTTAATCTAAGGAGAAGGTGTATTCACTTTCCAGAAATAAACAAAATGTTTAGTGCAGCCTCTCTACAACGACATCGCCGGGACCAGAAAAAAATGTTATATAGTATAGAGAGTTGTCGTTACAGAGTATAGAGAGTTGTCGTTACAGAGAGGTGACCAAAAATACTAGTAAAATATTAGGAAAAATTCAGGACCTGGGCACCATGTCGCTATACAGAGGATGTCGTAAAAGATCGTTATAGAGAAGCTGCACAGTAATTACCCAGCGGCCACACCTACATATGAATCTGGATCCAACCAAACATGTCGACATAAAATGCTAGTAGATCTACCTCTAGACTTGCTAGTTACCCTGATAAGGGATAGGTGTACAGATTTAAAAAAGGTGCAGTTGTAAAGTGAAATATCATTTTTATTCAATTATCACTTTCTCAGGTCTGTCACGGATGTTCAGATCAGAACTTTGTAAAAACATGTAGAGTTTACATGAATGTCAGTACATCATGTATGAGAACAAGCATGCACAGCAAACAAGCACAAAGCAAAACGAACGCATAGCCAACAGTTCTTCAGGCCAAAAGTTCTCTTCTTGTAGTCTTTGTATCTGCACAAAAAGATTTATGCAAGGCGCTGATTTTGCTCTGTGCATGCAAGACTGTATTTTTGAAAAAAATCAAATATATACGTACACTTGCTTGTGCATCATAAATAAAGCCTGTTGCATCACGATACAACTGGCAAACTCGTCCATGAAAAAATGCATGTCACCAGAATTCAACCACATTGTGTCAAAATACTGAGTATTGTAACTAAAAAAATTTCCAAACCAGCACAGCAATGCAATGCCTCCTCCTGTCAGGTTTGCACAGATCACAAGACAAATATATTACTTTCATAACAGTAGGCCCCTATATATATATATATATATATATATATATATATATATAGGCCTATATACAGTGGAGTCCATTTAATAAACCAAAATCTGCTGGACAGTCGGATTTTCTTTGGTTTAGATACCTTGCTCAAATAGAAAAAAAAATCAGGATTCTGCTTTCTTTCAGTTTACCACTGTTTAAGGATGAACCATGTTTGATTTAGGAGGACTTCACTGTAATGCTCCATGTGATGTGTTCCACATTTCTAATAAAGGCATGACAGCTGGCATAATTCTCATCATATTATTTTTCATATAGGGCCTAATCAGGAGAGGTTCTAGTTCTAGGATCATCGATGTTAAGAATTTGTAAAGAGTAGTTGGCAGCTATTCTTTTTTACCCATTTAGTCCATAGAGTAAAGTTGCACAGAGCCAATAGATTCACACCTAAAGCAATGTTTCAATTGCCAAATGTCTGACACTGTCATGTTATGTAATTCTACAAGGTCTAGGAAGAATGTCCAATTAGAAATGAAAACACAACAACAGGAACTCTAAGGCCCAGGCCCAGCTGTATGCTCTACAGTAGTATAGACAATTGTGAGGCAGCGAGGTGGAATCAGGCTCTCGTCAAAATAATCAAAGTGAGGAAACTTGCATTTTTCCGCAGGTTTGTGAATTTTTATCAAATTTTTGTTTTTTGGCTCAGCACCTTTCATGTCCATTAAAAAACTCATTCTGTGTGGATTTTTCTGAAAAACGTTGATTAAAGGCACAAAAAATGTAAATTTTCGGTTACCACGGACTCTTAAGCTATGGAAATAACTAATCTTTGGCGGCCATTTTCTCACTAATTTTACCTCTGAAAAAAGGTGACTCTCACCTCCTGCTTTCGCAAATATCTCGACTTGTATTCAAGATAAATGGATATTTTTTTTACCCAAAGCAAGACTAATGAAAAAGCTTTAAGATGATATCAATAACTCTACATGCCCAAAAATTGACGAGAGCCTGATTCCACCACGCTGCCTCACAATTTTAAACAGGACACATGAAATGGGGGGCTCAGGATTGTCATGCAATGAAATCTAAAGCAGAAGCTAAGGGCATGTGTTGCCGTGCCGAAATGGAAAAGTTGATCTTGAACCGTTTCCTGCACTTCCTCAGCCTCTGGCAACACTCTTTGAAGGTGTGACTTCTAGCTCAGCACATTTCTTAGAAAACATTAGGAAATACAATAGCGCTTTTCAGTTAACCTCACTAGGCTGTAAAGAAGTTACGATGGCAGGATGGAAACCCCAATTCTGAATCCAAGGTCAGCTTTGTCATCTTATTGGACCTCTGGAGTCATCCCGTGAAGCACAGCCTTCTTTTTTTAATATATATATTTCATGGATGGTGAATAACAGGTTGAAAGGAATAAAATCACTGATGGACTATGTCACAGCACATTACTTGACCTCCAGGATGTGTTAAGTGAAAAACAGGAATACGTAAAGGAATTGAAATGTTCCTATGAATTTGCCAACAACCAGAGCTTGGGGGATTTCAAAATTGTGATCAGTGAGGCGGCACGACCAATAGGAACTCATGAAAGGACACACAATGCACCAACTCTGAATAAAGTTGCTATTCTTATCCCAAACAATCCTGTAGGACACCGAGATATTTTGCTTCACACTAGAACTGAACAGCGGCAAAGAATTTCAGAATTTCACAAGGCCTATGACATTTTGCACTAACCTTTGCTTTTCCCATGTGGAAGTGATAGCTGGAATCTGAATATTGAAACTTACAAGCCAGCACAAAATAACACATCTTCAATTCTATTGCTTTCATTTCTTCACAAGGCAAGGAAACTATTTATTGCAAGCACGTCAGCTCTTTCACTCAGCAGTATATTGTCGATGCTTACGCAAAGATTGAATGTGAACGCCTTCAGTTTATTCGGAGAGAACAGAACCGACTCAGGGCAGACGGTTATCAAGAACTTGGAGACACAATTTCCAGTGCAGATGGCAACCCAAACAATGTTGGACAAAAGGTTGTTCTGTCTTCTTCTTATTAATATTA